AGGCGCGAATGCCTGCGTTCGCACGCGGCCACCGCGCCCAATTTGGCACGCCCCTCGCGCGTTTCGCGGCCCCGCAGGGAGCCACGCCTACGGCGCAAATGCCAGCGTTCGCACGCGGCCGCAGCTCTCATTTTGGCACGCCGCTCGCGCGTTTTGCGGCAAGGGACCCCACCGAAGGCGCAAATGCCGGCGTTCGCACGCGGCCACCGCGCCCATCTTGGAACACCTCATTCGCGCGCATCGTGGCTCCGCAGGGAGCCCCGCCGAATGCCCAAATGCCAGCGCGTGCATGCGGCCACCGCGCCCAGTTTGGCGCGCCCCTCACACGTTTCGCGGCCCCGCAGGGAGCCCCGCCGCAGGCCCGAATGCAGGCGTTCGCGCGCGGCCACCGCGCCCATTTTGACACGACCCTCGCGCGTTTCGTGACCCCGCAGGGAACCCCACCGAAGGCCCAAATGCTAGCGCTCGCATGTAGCCACCGCCCATTCTGGCACACCCCGCGCACGCTTCGTGGCTCCATTGGGTGCCCAACCGAAGGGCGAATTACCAGCGTTCGCACGCGGCCACCGCGCCCATTTTGGCACGCCCATCGCACGTTTCGTGGCCCCGCAGGGAGCCCCGCCGAAAGCCCAAATGCCGACGTTCGCACGTGGCCACCGCTCCCAGTTTGGCACGCCCGCCACGCGTTTCGTGACCCCACTGGTAGCCCCGCCGAAAGCGCAAATGCCAGCGTTAACATGCGGCGGCCGCGCCCATCTGGCACGCTCCATCACGCGTTTCGTGGCCCCATATGGGGGCCCAACCAGGGGGCCACATGTCAGCGTTCGCATGCGCCCACCGCGCCCATTTTGGCACGCTCCACACATGCGTGGCAGCCCCATAGGGAGCTCCACCGAATGCGGTACATACAGCGACGGTGCTCACAACTGCATATGGTCGGGGGTGATGACACCTTCGCCAGGCTCATTGTTTTTTTTGTGTGTGTATGTGTGTGTGTGTGTGTGGGGGGGGGGGGGGGGGGTAGCAAGTGTGATCTGTAGCTCGCGTAGTCTAGGTAGGACGGGAGCTGCAAACTCAATGGGGCAAGATGCGGAGTGCCCCTTGCCTTCGGACAACGAGCCCAACGTAACGCCATCGATGCGAATGCTGGCAGAATTGCTTGGGGGTTGGGTCTCCGACGTACGGGGGGAGTTGAATGCCTTCGCCTCGTACGAGCCGCGTGCTGATCCTGCTGCTACTCCTCGCCCTGAAAACCTCTCCTCCGAAACCGCTCCGCCCGTGATCAGCCGCCTTGGCCATCGATGCATCTGTGTACTATAAACGGCCAGATGCAGGGGGTGGTGGAGAAGACCCGCATGCCTCAGCAAGACGCCGCGGCGGATTCGCAAACTTTCCAGCCCCCAGGGAACTTCTCAAGCCCCAGAAGACTTGGTCATTGCGCTTCTGGTCGACTGGCGCCATGCTGCGTCTTCCGGACTGCGACCCTGCGAGCTACTAAATTCCGCAATCAATCCGGAGGCCGCCTCCCAGTCCCTGGCCAATCGCGCCCATGGCTTGGGGCGCGCTCAGCGCCGGGGAAAGGCGCCAGGCCCCTCCGGCCTCTTCCTTCTATGCTCCCTGGCCAGGAGCAGCTGCAACTTTTGGATGGGCGACGGGGTAGAGCTCGGGGTATCCGTGACCTGGAACAAATTGTACAGGAAGGCCATGCGCGAATCGCCCGAGATGCTACTAGAGTGGCGGGGGTGGGAACCGCCCAGCTGGCGCGCCCGCTGATCGAGGGCGGCGGCTGCCTCCTCGATGCGCTCGGGGCGCGGGGGCTCAGGGAGAGCGACGACGGGGCGATCGCGATTCCGATCGGGCATCCCTGCTGGGGTCGGCCCAGCACCCCATGTCGCGCCCCAGTTGTCGGGCCCGGCGGGGGGGCGCGCTGCGTGCGAGGAGGGCAAGCCGAACTCCGGCCCCCCCCCCGCGCTTCCTCTGCCCCCCCCCCATCGGGCAGGTGCGGCGCGCGGCCCCTCTCCAGCGCTCGCTTCCTTCACCCGCCCCTTCCATTGCTCCTTCCTCGACATATCATCCTCGCCCTTAAAGGGTAGTTCGAGATCGGGGCCCGCGGATCTCTCTAACGAGCTGCATCTTTGAGTTCGACACTGGGCCCCAGAGACGCTGCGCAATAGGTTGCTGCTCATCTCCCGGCGCGCGATCTCCTGCGCCCCCGGCCAGACAGCGCCGAAAGGCCCACCTTTCAGTTTCAATTTCCGCGGGGATATGAAGCGAGCGACGAACTCGGCGAAGGGGCTGCCATCGGGAAGCCGACATTAAATAACCTTCAGCTCCTGCAGAATACAGGCTGCGGACAGCAGCGCGCGCTCGGGGGTAATTCGCGCGCGGCGCTGTCGACGTGCCGGCGATGTCACCGGCGGCGCCTCCTTGCATGGCTGGCGTCGCGACCCCATTCGCGAGTTCCTGACGGGCCCGCGGGGGCCGTTCCTGATTGACATTGCCCCATCCTGTGGGCCTTGCGCGCGCAGAGGCTGGGCTGGGGGGGCAGTGCAGACCCGCCGGGGCAGCCCCTCGCAGCGCGGGGGCTGGGCGGGCGGGCCGACCGCAGGGTGCGCCGGGGCGCCCCCGTACTTTTCAGGCACATGAGCTTTCAGGTCGCCAATGGCCCGCGATAGCTCCAGACGAGCGGGCCTGCGAGGAGGCATTCGTATCGAGTGGTCTACATATGTAATAATATGTTATAGCTTAGGCCAGATTCGAGTCGACGCTGAAACAATCGATGTGCAATCGACGCCCTCCACTCACGCGCGTCGGATCCGCTGCTGCTCGCGCCGCTGCCCCCCGTCGGCCGACGTCCACATGCGCCCCCTGAAACGCGACGCGCCAAAATTAAAGTCGCCTCCTACCAGCGCCGAGGAGCGGGGCTGGACCTCGAGCGCTGCTTCCCCCACCTTGTCGACGAGGGCCGCGTCGAAGTCGTCGAGCACCGCCCCCGACTTCGACGCGCGCAAAACAATGCCATTATTCCCAAGGGCCCCTCTCGCAAGGAACGCCTGCGAATCTGAGCCTGCAGCGCTGCTTGGAGATCGGGCCCCCGCATCCAAGCGCCCGGGGGGGCTCGAATCAGGGCGAAGCTGCCTCCAGAAGCTTTTCCAAACGGCCCCCGAACGGCCACCGTTCCAGATGCCCTCCAGCCCCGTCTCCGAAGAGACACGACCACCTTCGCGCAATTTTCTTCCAGCAGCTTGTGCCCCGGGGCAAAAACAAACCCAGCTTCTGCGGAATCTAAAACGCAGCGCGCCGAGATCCAACATGACTCGTTCGCGGTAATGACTGAGACAGCCTGCTGCTGCTTTGCGTCCTTCTTTTGCTTCCTACAGTTGTTGACGCCTCGAGGGTGCCGCTGTGGTTGCAAAAAGCCGACTCGATCTTACAGAGACGCGTCGCAACTCCCCCTGATGCACCAAACTCGCGCACGGCCGCCACCTGCTGGATCGAGCTGCCGGCAACCGTTGCCGGCCCCGGCCGGGGCGGGGGTGGCGGAGGCACGAACCGTGCACGATGAGCATTGGGGATAGGCTCGTCTGACGCTCGCTTCGCTGCTTGCGACGCGTCCTCGCCCCCCTTCGTGTCGCCGCGTCGAAGACCCGAGCTTCGATCGTCTCCTCCAGCGTTCCTCCATCGTCCGCTCCTTCACGCGTGCGCTGCTCTTGTTGCCCGCGTTCCTCCTCGCCCTCCTCTCCCCCCGCCTCATCCGCATAATCAAGTGCATACGTGTTGTGTGCTTCTGTCTGCGCCATGAGGGAATCAGGCCTGGCGAGGGCACTGTCTGAATCGGGGTGGCATTCGAAAACCTGCTCCCATATATGCAACGCGCTCTGGAGCTTCTTGGCGAAGAATTGTTTGTCCACATTTTCATCGTGTGCCCAACCTCCTGAATCCGTTGCCTCCAATCCTGGATGTTTCTCCTCCTCCTTCTCGCTCTCAGGCTTCTCCCCCTCCCATCCAGAGACCTCCTCCTCAATGGACTGGATCTCAACGGAAATTGTGCTGCGCTGGGTCTCGAGGTCGAGCTGTCTGGCCACCAGTTCAACCGCCGGCTCCTCCAGACCTGGCAGTTCCTCCTGGACAGCTGGAAGACGAATGCATTTCTTTTCGCAAGTTTGACCCGAGGAGCTTGATGCGAAACGAGGTGGGGTTTTCTTCTCACGGGCCTCTTGGAGCTCTTCCATAAGTGATTTGAGAACTTGGCCTTCGTCTCGTCAAGAAATTCACATATCTTGCCTGTGAGCAGCGAGAAGAGACCAACAACCTTCCCTCTGCCTTTTCCGTCTGAAGGGTGCACCCTACTGCAAGAAATCGAACGTACCGTAGCCACCTTTGACACCTCCCTGGGTTCCTTTGGTTCCTTGACCTCCTTCTCCGTGAGACCCCTCTCTTATTGCGCCATCTTTGCCACTTTATCCTCCTCCCTTCTTGCCGCTGTTTTTCCTCCTCCGCCATCCGCATCGCTGGCCCCCCAACCTTTTACCCCAGTATTGCTACTGGTGCTGCTGCTGCTGAGTGGGGAACTGAGAGTAGACCTGAGGGGGTGGACGTTCGGATCGATTCCATGCACCTGATGGCCGCGGATATACGGAGAGACTGGGACCATACTGAAAAAAATGCCCGCAATGGTAGCCAGTAGTAGAAGACCACGGATTTTTCTCACAACCATAGTTGGTGCAAACGACACCCGTGTAGCCCGCATGCGGCATGGCTTAATGCTCCGTGGAGCACACTGCAGGGCCAATCAGCGAAGCCGGACTGATCGGTTGGGAGTTGACGGGCTTCCTCCCCGAAATGTCACAAAACGTCCAAGCGCCTCTTTGAGCGTGGGGGTCTCACACACGGCGATATATTGAACCAAAACGGTTTGAGCCAAAATGTTACGGAAAGCCTGGGGGCCCAGAAGCCACCACATCTTCCTCCTCATCCTCTTTACTCTCCTCCTCCCCTGATCCTCTTTCAAATCACTGCAGGGCCTGCAGGGGCCCATCACAGGCATAAAACACCGTGAGGCTGGCAGGCGTGGCGTCGGCGTGCAGCAATGGTAATGCACCTCTTCCCAAGGAGGAGGCGCAAGAGGGGAGGACGACAGAGGGGCGAGGGAGATGGGAGAAGGGGGATGGCGAGAGGCAGGCAGGAGAGAGCGAGGCGGAATGGAGCATAAGCAACACTGCGGCCGCGCCCTGGGCCAGAGCCTTGCACAACTTCGTCCGGGAGAGGTCCGGCAATTGGTTCATGTCATGCTTTCCGTGCGCGAAGCGGCCTCACTGTCAAACCATATCATGACGCAGATCGTCTTCTACTAGAGCTGCGATTGGCTAGACAAGAGTAGAAGAGGGATGGATGAGATCGGTAAGGCGGCTCACCAAAGCCAGGAAGCCATCACCCTGAGGAGCCTCAACTCGATCCTCTCTCACGCCAGGCGGCCCCAACATGTGATTTCTGAACCTTTTTGGGCCATGACCTTCGCGCGCGCTCGAATTATCCAAAAACATAGCGCGGACTGAAATGTCGATGACTGGGTTACGGTCTCAGATATCAATTCCGCTTGAAACTCTTCCGGAAATAATCTATCCAAGACGCCACCGGCAACTCACCGCCACCTCGTGCCTGTACGGAAGGACCCGGCGCTTCTTCTGGATGGTCAAATCCTTGGACACCATGAGGTGTGCCGCGAGACGACTCCTGGAAGGGGGCCTTGGTTTTTTTCTTGGGGACGTCTTGTGCACATGGTCGTGCCGTCTTGGACCTGATTGGGGGCCTACCACGCCCAAATCGTATTCTCTGAGTTGCTGGGGTGGGAAAAAATTAATACCCCTCACGCAGATCGGCGGGGTCAAGGTCCAAAAACACATGGGATTTGCAACTTTTCTCAAATTTACTGCCACCCCTCACGCAGGTCGGTGGGGTCAGGGCCCAAAAACATAATTACGGGATGTGCCACATTTCTAAAATTCGGTGGCATCACTCACGCAGATCGGCGGGGTCAGGGTCCAAAAACACATGGGACTTGCAACTTTTCTAGAGGATTTGCTACATTTCTGAAATTCGGTGGCACCCCTCACGCAGATCCGCAGTGTCAGGGTCCAAAAACACATGGGATTTGCCGCATTTCTGAAATTCGGTGGCACCCCTCACGCAGATCGGCGGGGTCAGGGTGGAAAAACAAGCAGGTCCCGTCACTGCTTCACGGCGAAGCCAAAGCCTCATGACTTCGCTCTTTCATGGCCCATTCTCCGAGACAGGGGGCCGGCGGCAGGGGGCGAAGCCCTTACGGATCAAAAACCCTTCTTCTCAAGCTTGCCAGCGCGAGAAACATCTAGCAATGTCGTAATCGAGTCGAAGGGAAGCCCCTTCCCTTTGATCCCTCCTCCGTCGGAGGGGGGTGGGGTTCTGGGGAGGGTCGCCACCCAGAGACGATTCCCTTGGGGGGTCCTGGGTCCCAGAAAACCGCTAGGACGAGCCACGAGTGCCCGAAGAGGCCCCCAAAACGGTCCAAGAGGGCCCCGAATCGGCGAACGATTTGCCCAAGACGCCCTGACTGCCTCCAGACGGCCCATGAGGCCTGCAAAACGCCCCAAGAGGCCTGCAGGAGCACTTCCCAGGCGACGTCGTCATAAAGCTTATGACAGATTTGGGCGTTTTCGCCTCTTCCACTTCGCGCCGCTCCAAGACGGCGCAGGAGGCCATAAAGATCGCCCCGAAATCGTCTAAGAGGGTCCCTGAACAGCCCAAGAGGCCCTTAAGACAGCCCAACACGCCTCCAAGACGGCCCAAAAAGCCCCCAAAACGGCTCCAAAGGCGTGCCCAGACCGGAGACCCGAACAGACATTTCGAGCCCTCGCCCCCGCGAAGCTCTCAGGATGCCCCAGGAGGCCTTACAACGACCCCAAGAAGCTCCGAAGACGCCCCCAAGAGGCCCCGGAAGACGCCCCCAACTCGGAACTCGGAATTCGGCCTGCGTCTTGCACCGCAGGGGTGCTGCAAGGTGGGGCCGAAGCGCCCGGAAATTACTGGCGTGTGAAACATCAACATCGCGTTGATACAGCGCGAGAGAAGAAAGGAGGAGGAGGGAAACCGGCCAGCCGCTCATCGGTAACATCTCGGTAGGTGCAGACGGGGCAGGTCTGCATTCTTGGGGCGCCGGAGTCGGAAGTACAGGAGCAGTCGGATAAGGACCCCGTCGTTCCCCAGCACAAAAAAATCGTGAAAAGAAACGGTCCGAAGCCGAAGTCGGAAACATAGGAGAATACGTCGGAAGCAAGAATCGGAAAGGTTGGAGCCGGAGTCAGAGAGACGGGCGCCGGAATCGGAGAAATGGGAGCTGGAGTCGGAAAGCTGGGAGCCGGAGTCGGAGAGATGGGAGCCGGAGTCGGAAGGGTTGGAAGCTGGAGTCGGAGAGACAGGCGCTGGAATCGGAAGCAGGAATCGGAAAAATTGGGGCCCGAGTCGGAAAGACCGGCGCCGGAGTTGGAAGGATGGGAGCTGGAATCGGAAAGCTGGGAAATGGAGTCGGGGAGGGAGCAGGAGTCGGAAGAATTGGAAAACCGAATTGGAAAGACGGGGCGCCAGTCGGAAGCAAGAGTCGGGCAAATTGGAACCGGTGTCGGAGAGACGGGCGTCGGAGTCGGAGAGATAAGAAACTGGATTCGGATAAATAGGAACTGGAGTCGAAACTCGGAAACAAGGGTCGGAAAGGCGGGAGCTGGAGTCGGAATGTGGGGGTCCGGAGTTGGATATACGATAACTTGGCCTTCGCGTCGCGGTTGGAGCAGCCCAGTACCGTGGCCCTCGACACCCTATAGCGAATAGTCGGTGAACCTGTTTTCCAAACCACGCCATGCATCAGCGCCTGCAAGTTGAAAGAATGCGTGTGTGGAGTCGTTTGGGGTTGACGCTTCCTGCAGGGCTGTCTTCTCTCCCCCGTCCCACATATCTATATATAATGCTTGGCGAAATTGAATATGCCGTCCAACCATATCCTCTTCGGCTTGTGTCTGCGTCACCTTGCATTCCACCGTGCGTGTTCGGATGGGTTTCACCATAGAGCCCTCGCTGTCTACTCAGATGGCCCAGCTTCGGCCACTTTTTGAAACCACCTCCATGTCCGACTCTTCTGCAAACGCAGTCGATCGTCCAAATGTAAATGGTTCATATACTTTTCCGCTTCCCGTGTACTCCGTTTGATCCAGTCCACCCATGATTCCAAGTCCGTGTCGTCGTCGTCGCTTTCGTGGTCCGGCGCATCGTGGCGTGGTGTTGGTGAACGCTCGCTTGTGACATCCCTTCCGCTGTTTGTCTCTTCCGAATGTGTGTTTCTCGGCGTCCGCGGTGAACCGTTTTGCGGCAATGGGATCGATGTCCTTGTCGACCGTCTCCGAAGCAGATGCATCACCAGGCGTAGCATTTGCCGTCGCGTTCTCCTGACTAGTTTTTCCAATTCCTTAGTCATGGTCCACGCCTCTCATCCGCATGGCATCGTTGCTGTCACGGCCCCATGGAAATCTGATTCTGTCTTTCAAAGAATACCTCCTGCCCGTGAGTTCCTGCCTCAAAGAATGAAACTCTCTCCGCGCCGCAACGATGCGGTTTTCTATTGCCGCGCGGTTCGGATCAGAGAAGCACAATTGTCTGCCTAAGTACTTTGTACTGTCCTCCACTTTCAGCATTTCGATGTTCATATCATCGATATGTGCACGGGCTGGGGTCCTGGGGCGGTTATTGGCGCAACGGGCGCTGTGCAAGATGTTGGTCCTACCCGGGTGCAGCGCCAGACCCGCGTGTCGAGCCTCTTCACACAGGTCATCAATAATGCAAAACATTTGTTTGAGTGCGGGCGTCAAGAACAAGATGTCGTCTGCGAGACGCAAAGTGGATAGCCGCTCTCTGCGCGCAGGGCGCAAGTTGACGCCCATGTTTGCACGCCCCCATTTTCGCTTCATCCGCCCGACAACGTATTCCGACACACTATTGAATAAGGGCGAACTGAGCGGATCGCCTCTCTTGGTGCCTCGCTGGATTGTAAAGAGGGCGCTTGTGCGATCTGCGCGTGCGCGTGCGATCTGCACCCTGCACATGCTTCGAAGTAGTTCTCTGCGCTATTGATAAACGCCTGGCTTTTGTAACGCGCCCCATATTCCACGGTGCGCGACGCTGCCGAAGGCTTTCTTAAAATCTATAGCCGCGGCCCACATTGGAACCTGCCGCTCGTCCGCTGTGCCCCGCAGAATCGCAATCATGAGCAAATGGTTTGCGGTTGATCGACTCGGGCGAAGCCCTGCTTGATCCAGGCCTTGTCGCGCACCCAGAACAAGGGATAATCGGCTGCGCAGCAGGCGCGAGAATAATCCCACCAGCCCTTTGGGCGTGAGTGGTTTAGAGAGCCCGCTCTGTTCTCACCCCCCTTCTTCCCCTTTCGGGGAGGGGTTTACCCCTCCCCCTACCCCCTCCCCCTGGGCCTGGAGAGGTCCCTCCGCGGGTCGTCAGGGGAGTCATGTTCGACTCCTGGGAGGGCTAAAAAACGGCACCCCTCGCGAGGATTATGGCCCCGACGGGGGGGGGGGAACAAACCCTTTCCTCTCCTTTGAAGCCAAAAGCATTGATTTTACTATGGTGGTGGCCCCATTTTGGCCTTCTGAGGGAGCAGCGCTCATTAAAGCTCCCCTCTTCCTTCAAGGCAGAACCATTGATTTTGCGAAGGTTTTGGCCTCAGTTTGCCCTTCTGAGGGAGCAGCGCTCATTAAAGCTCGCCTCTTCTTTGATCGATTCCCTCCAAGATGGCCCCAAGAAGCGCCCAGGAGGCACCGAGAGGCCCCAAGATGGCCCCAAGAGGTCCCCAGGAGGCCCCCAGGAGGCCTCCAAGAGGCCCCCAAGATGCCCCCAAGAGGCCCCAAGAGGCCCCAAGAGGCTCCCCCGAGGCACCCAAGACGCTCCTGGAAGCCCCTGGGGCCGCCAATAGGCCCCCAAGACGCCCCGAACGGCCTCCAAGAGGCTCCCAAGAGGCCCGAAGAGGCTCCCCCAAGGCACCCAAGACGATCCTGGAAGCCCCTGGAGCCGCCAAAAGGCCCCCAAGACGCCCCAAAAGGGGACGAGGTGCCCGAACGCCTCACGCCACGAGGAGCCCGAACGACTCACACCAGGACGATGGGCCCGAACGACTCACACCACGAAGAGCCCGAACGACTCACACCAGAAGGAGGGGCCCGAACGACTCACACCAGGACGAGGCGCCCGAACGACTCACACCACGAGGAGCCCGAACGA